CAGCCCAGCCCAGCATGCTGTTCTCTTCACCCCTCTCCACACGCCCATCTTCTCAAAGCGGGACATTCCCTTTCCCTCAAAGGGTCCCTGCAGAATTTAGCCCGGAGCCCCTTGATCGCCCTCCCTGCTTCTCTCTGAACCTGTTCCCGTTTTTCAGGAAACATCTTAAATGAGGGTCCCCAGAACCAGGCAGAAACTTAAACCGGGCTTCTCCTCCGTGGAAACGCTACTCCTGCTGATGTAGCCTAAAACCGCATTTGCCCTTTGCGCTGTGCCATCACGGTGCAAGCTCACATTCAGTGGGCGAAGGGTTGTCACACAGAAGCGGGAGCGGACTTGCTCTCAGCTGCCTCAGAGGGCAAGACCCAAACCAGGGGATTCAGTCGACCGGTAAGGAAGCCCGGGCCAGACGGTCCCTGTCGGACCTGTCAGCCAGCGGAACAGACTGCTGCATGACACAGGGAATCCCCTCTGGCGAAAGTCTCCGGACGGAGGCTGGATGGCCATCTGCCAAAGATGGGCTGAACTAGGTGACCTCTATGTTCCTTCCCATTCAACAAAGCACTCCCCCAAGACCTTTTTCACAAAGCCAGGTACGCCATTTGATTCTTACTATCCTAAGGGAAGTACTTTGCATCTCTGAATTTTAATGTGATTGCTTTCAGGCCATGTCCCTGGCCTATCAAGGTATTTCTGTATCAAAAAAGGGCCCAACCCCGTGCCCAGGAAGCAGTCCCCCTCTGAGCCAGACCTGGGGTCCCCACGGTGAAGGCCTGTCCGTGCTGATGGGCAGAGGCGGCTCCCAGCTCCTAGCAGGGCCTTTCAGACTGCGCCGGTGGGGTGGGGTGTGTTGCATCTCAAGACTGAACCAGGGACGCTGCCCGGGACCCCTGGCCGGAACAGATCAGCACCATGGGGAACCAGGCCTTTCCTAGGCCGCCCTACGAGGCCCTTCTCTGCTGCAGCTCTCTCCCGCAGGCCGAGCGCCACCCTCTCGTGCCACCCGGGCTCTAGCTGGGAAGGTCACCCAGAAAAGGTCTCCGAAGCCCCTGGACTCACCGACAGGATCATGCGGTACTTGAAGTTGGGGAACTCCCGGTCACATTTTTCACAGCGATAGAGGCCATTCTGCTCGTCAATCACTTTTTTATTGCAATCTTGGGAGGGACAAGCTTGGTACATGCAGTTCTCCTTGCGCAGATACACCACCGTGCCCACACAGCTGAAGTAGTCGGCCTGAAAAGGCAATGGCCGCAGGGACAAAGGGATCAGCTGGGTGCTCAAGAGGCAGTGCCACGGCCAGGTCTCTGAAGGCCAGAGCGAGTGCCAGGATGGCAGCCCCAATCCTGCACCTGCCATGCTGGACTGCTGACCTGACCCTGCTCAGAAAGGCCATGGGTCCTCCTCACGGGCCGCCACGCGGCCAGCCATCCCGTGGCATGAATAAAGGAACCCTGGACCACAGAGTGAGTTCGGGTGGATCTTCCCTTCAGTGGCACTCGCTAAAGATGCTCCCTGTGCTGAGAGACTAGCAGTGACCCCCGTGCTGGATGGAGGGACCCTTTAGCAAATTAAGTAACTGGGCTGGCTGACTGGCCAGGGAAAGGCGCCTCCCCTCCGAGGCGCAAGCCCCTGCCCTCGCTCGACCCCCCGAAGGGGAGCCGTTGTTCACTCTGATTCAAGGCACAACACCAGGCAGTAAGAGAAATTAGGAATCGACCGTCAGTTGCAACTTTTTTCTATTCTTATTTGGTCATTTTCAGTCATACAGAGTTTAAACATTTTAAATGAAATTGGTCAACGGTCACAGTCATTCAGTTCATTATGATGTTTCTGTTCCAGTAAATTACTGCTAGTTACTCCATGTGCCTTTATCTGGCAATTTATTATCAGATCTTGGAAACCCCGTAAACAGACAGCAGACTCAACCTGAACTCTGGGGTTGTCACAACGCCCTTGCAGGGTGGTCCACCACTACTCTTGGGGGTGAACACAGACCCAAGGCCCGTTCCCACGGCCCGAGAAGACGGTCAGCACGCCCTTCCGGCCTCCGCAGCCACCCACCCCTTGCTCCCCCGCAGCGGCCATCCTACCTTGTCCCCTTGGCCCAGGTTCTCCGATTTAGCCTCGTGCAGCGTCTTCCAGGTGGTGCTTCCCCCGGCTGCAAGCCCGCCCCGCCCGGAAGAGATGGAGGTGGACTCCAGAAGCTGCCCTTCCGAGTCAAACCTGGAACAACAAAGGGTGCACTCCCAGTCCTGAGGAGCAGATGCAGGCAGCCTGCGTTTATTTTTAGGCGCTCGCTGCACGAGGGGTTTTTATCAATGAGTCGCGCTGGAAACAATTACAGGAGCTTGCATATATTAGTCACCCAAAAAGCATTCCAGGATAAGCTAATGCTCCATTTTAATTAGTGCAGTATTTTATCATCCAAGGGAGCAGAGAGAGACCTCGCTTAGCTTCTGCTTCTGCTTCCGCTGGCGGCTGTGGCTCTGCACTGCAGCTCTTCCAGAGGGAAGGCACCGGGACCTTTCCGTGGAGAGAGCAGAAGAAGGCGGACCCCTCGCTCTGGAAAAAGCCAGCCAGGCCCCACGTTGAAGCCCGGAGCACCGGCCCTCGCCTTCAGCCGCGAGCTGCGCCGTGTCGTCTGCCTCCCTGAGTCACGCGCGAGGCCAAGCGGCCAGCGAGGAGCGATCCTCGCAGGGAGAGCCGAGGGCTCAGCAACAGCCGGGGGAGCTGCTGACGATGGCGGCCACGCAGCAGAGGGTCCCCGGAGCCTCAGCCAAGCTGCTTCTGAGCCGCAAGTGGGTTTGGATCCGACTGGGCTCAAGAGAACAGAAGGGAAGGGAAATGCTGCTCGGGCACTCCGGACGCCCACGGCCGCTGGAGAAGCACTTGGAGGCAGCCAGGAGCCTGGGGAAGGAGGAACATCGCCGCTTGGCCGATGTAAACATTGGCCTGTCTGTCGGCACAATTTTGGTGCAAAGAAGCAGGAGGGGGAGGCCTCTGCTCCCACCCTCCTCTTTCAACCGCCCCCTCCCTGCCAAGGGGGAAGAAATAAGCCCAAGACCTGAACCCCGCTCCCTCTCACGTCAAGGCAGGCCGCCTGCAGCTGGCAGGGGGGAGCCCTGGCCCCTTCCAGGTCCTCTGCTCTGCCTTCCTGAAGGAATGGCAGGGGACCACCCACCTGGGCAGGCCCGGTGGGAAAACCTTTGCTCGTCAGCTCCTCCCCTCGGGGGGGGGACCTGCCACGCAGCTGACTCTGAAGAGGGCAGGGGAGGACTGCTTGGAGGGGGTGCCTCTGGAGGAATACGTCCCCACAGGAAGAAGCCTTTTCCTGGAGTGGGGAACACGACCCTGCTCAGGCCCCGAGAAAGAGCCAGGCCAAACCACAGTCCCCGGCCTGCCTGGGGCTTAATTGCAGGAAGCCCATTCCAGCCCCTGTGCCTTGACTCTGGAACAGTGGCTGAGAACACATCTGACCTGCGGGAGAGTGTCCGGGCCCTCAGAGCAACCTGCCCACCGCCCGCCCAC